ATGATTACTGGCTACACTCAAATCTTTAATTATTATTATTATTTTATTTTTTTATGGTTCATTGATATTGCTGTTTATTGTTATTTATTGCTGTTTTATATATTGTTCATGATGTACGGTGACCTTGAGTGATTTGAAAGGCGCCTTAAATAAAATGTATTATTATTATTATTATTATTAAATGCAGTATTTCCTACCATAATGAATTGGGCAGGTGAGAGTCTTAAGGAAGAAAAGCCTAGTCACTCCACTAACACTTACAAAGCATGCTGGGAACTAAAAATGGCCCGACTCGGTTTTCGAAAATGCTACACTAATAACATACATTTCTGTAGCAAACGTTTTAAGTAAACTTCTATTGTACAGATTTAAATAGAGGGTATGCAATATAATTGTGACACATGTTGTGTAAAATATTTTTAGAAAGCTGAGCAAGAAACAAAAATCGACTTAGGTGTATACGCTCTGTCTGATGTGTATGTAAACTGTAAGCTTACTGATTAAAATATATTTTCTCTTTTTTTCAGTTTTCTATAAAACTCTTTTATATGACCATGCAGCAGGTACAAAAAGGACTCACAACACAGACACTCCATTTCCAAACGACTACTCACAGAACAATAAATCACACTCTCAGCACCTATCAGAGGAAAGGCCTGCTGTGATTTTTTTAACTTCCTGTTCTTAATCCTTTCTCTTTTATTCTGTAGGCACCCTGTCTCCAACTAGCAAGCTGCGACCTGTTCAAATATTACAGCATTACAAGCCCCAACATGCCAAAGCCTATTCATTCGATGCTAAGAGATTCTCTTCCTATCACTTCTCAATCATGCATCTTTTCAACAAGAAACTAATGTATTTTATTGTCTGCAACTGTACCGTTCTTCAAACATCTACATATATGAAACAATCCTCTCCTGACCAAAAATATGACTTTACGTGCTTATTAAACTATTTCTATTTTAGCTCTTTACTAGCCTCTGTTCTACAGAACACACATTTTGAATCAAAGGGAAGCTTTCAATGACCTGTTTCTCCCTGAGCAGCAAAGTCATTTGTGTGGCTCCATTGTGGTGGCTTAGCTCCATTAACCCACCGCTTTCTGCCCCACATCAAAGCCACGTCTGACATATGGATTATGAGTGTAAAAATTACATTTTTGAAATATGTCACTCACTATCTACCATTCACTGAGTTTTGCTCTGGGAGTGGACAGCATTAATGTTTCATGTTATATATGTATATGTGACCCTGGACCACAGAACTTAAATCATTAGGATATTAAGTAAAGATCATGTTCCATGAAGATATTTTCTAAATTTTCTACCGTAAATATATAAAAACTTAATTTTTGATTAGTAATATGCATTGCTAAGAACTTCATTTGGACAAATTTAAAGGCGATTTTCTCAGTATTTAGATTGCTTTTGCACCCTCCGATTCCAGATTTTCAAATAGTTGTATCTTGGCCAAATAGTGTCCTATCCTAACAAACCATACATCAATTGGAAGCTTATTTATTCAGATGTATAAATCTCAATTTCAAAAAATTGACCCTTATGACTGATTTTGTGGTCCAGGGTCACATACTGTATATACAGTGGGTATGGAAAGTATTCAGACCCCCTTAAATTTTTCACTCTTTGTTATATTGCAGCCATTTGCTAAAATCATTTAAGTTATTTTTTTTTCCTCATTAATGTACACACAGCACCCCATATTGACAGAAAAACACAGAATTGTTGACATTTTTGCAGATTTATTAAAAAAGAAAAACTGAAATATGTACCCACTGTATATATATATATATATATGGGAATATTTTAATTAGAAAAACATGAATGCTGAAGAAATCTTGAATTAATTTCCGTTTATTAGGATCAATTTACTCTGGTAATTGCTTTAACATTAGCAGATAATTGTCACATACATGGCCCTCATGTTTGCAGTTAAAACTCTAAATTGCTTCAACAGATGTGAGCCTGACATTTGTTCCACTGAAACAAGCTAGCTGCTTTCAAGTATCTAAGAGATGTAATGCACACTATACTGACATGTGTCTAAATACAACTTGAAAATAATGACAAAATGTTATAATCATCACGACCAACGTAATTATTATCACAACTGTTCCTATAACTGGATTAGGAGAGCTGTTGTCCAACACCAGCTGTTGTTGGACTACAATCACCTGTTGCTCATAAAAGTATTTTGGAGATCCTGTGGGTATCCGTTACACATTATACCAGCAGCACGTGGTAAAAATAACTAAGAGGGCACTTTTAAACTTGAAGGTTAGATGAGCATTTGTACCGATCAGCAGACAACTGTTACTCTTTCACAACAGGACCGCATGCCTTTCAACTCGCACAGAAAAAGGCCTTTGGAGCTCTATGATTTTCCTCTGGAATCACTTTGTTAAGAGTTATTTAAATGTACTTTAGCTCGATTCTCTCTACAAAAGAGACCAAAAGACATTCCTTGAGAGTTTTACAACTGAGGCAAACTCTGCTAAAGCACTTAGGAGATGGCTGTGTATTTAGACTGGCTAATTTGAATTCCTGATGCACTGAGAAAAAAGGCAAACCCTTGCACCTGTAATGACTACACTTTCCATGTTGCTTTAATAAAGGCATTCAAAGTGTATTTCCAGATAATAACTGTACATGATGCATTGAGATGTTTTGTGCTCTTACACTGTAGCTCTGGTGTTCTTAAACATCTCCCTCAACACGTTTTGAGCAACAGAATGCAGAAAATTGGCAGAATTGTAGCAAGAAAAATCAGTCTCTCTCAGCATGAATGTACTGTATATGAACACCCAGTTGAATATTGCGGCAAAATATGCACATTTTTATTTCAGGTAAGTAATTATATGGATAAAAAAACATTTGTAGCAAGATCTCCTCAACTAAACTCTTAAAAAATAAAGGTTATTGACATCTTTGATTTCATGAAGAACCTTTAATATCCATGGAAACGTTGGTAACACTTTTATAGAGACAAATTCTCACTATTAATTAGTTTCTTATTAGCATGCCCATTATTAACATATAACATAACGCCGACATCTTACATCATCCTCCCAGAGCTGCTTCCGCAAGCTAGATTAAAGTGATTATTACGTTTTGAATATGGATATTTTTCTGACAAAAACACATTGATTCGCTACAGGAGGCCTTTGTTCACCCCCGGGGCCGTGTGAGGCACTTTTTATTATGGATGCATGCGCTTTATTTCACTTCTTTTGGACTGATGCACTGCAACACCCCGCTGACTGCCATTAAACAGCTTGGAAGATCAAAGACAATTTTAAGATACCGCCGATTGGATTCATCTGAAAGAAGGAAGTCATATATGCCTAAAATGGCTTGAGGGTGAGTAAATAATGGGCTAATTTTCATTTTTGGGGGAACTATCCCTTTAATGGTTTGTTAATAGTGAGAATTGGACCTTAAAATAAAGTGTGAACGAAACTTTCTATTGCAAAAATGGTTATTTAAAATGTTCTTCACACTGCCAATAAATAAATACAACTATAGTTAAGAATTATTTAAGAATTGCTCATTGAAAGGGTGTTTGGGGAACCCAAATGGCATTACTACCAAAAACTGAAAAAAATAAAATAAAATAATTTGTGTATGAGCTAAATAAAATTGAATAGAGATGTAGTTTTAGACAGCACCACGGGCTTTAATATAATGCTATAAACAAATGATGGATGTGATGAAAGACTGTCACCATGCTCCCTGTCCACCTGTCTGACAACTGAGTGTGGATTATAGCAGAGCATTCTGGGAATGCAAATCAGGCCCTCTTCATACCCATTAAATCGAGCAACAGCTTCAAACGCCGATTTGTTCTGCAAATAGCCCATTCAGTGCGGGCCCAAAAAGCTGCAACACCTTTCTCTCCCCCTGCGGTAATTGAATCTTCAAAGGGGCATTTCCACCCCCTGTCCTTGTCCGCTACAAGGACCGTGGAATGAATAGCACGTTCATATGAAAAGAGAAGAAAGTATACATGTTTATCCATGTTCAATTAGCCACCCCGTCATCTGCATTCATAATTACGGCATAAGAACATGGACAAACACAATTAAGGGACAGAGAGATGGCACCGAATTTAGGAAGGTTCATAAAAAAGCATAGTTTTGCTAATGAGCTCCGTTCTCAAGAGAAACTCAACAAGATGAATTACTGAGATCATACAAATCCTTTGGTCTCCTGATGGAAAATTGGTTCTTTCAGATACTGTACATAATTCATATTGAGTGATTTCAGAGAAGAACACCTGCGAGAGATTTAGGACTAACCCAAGGTAAATTCATGGCACTTGAAACACATAGTCCACATACTTCATTGAACATAAAAACAAAGTTTCAGTTTTTTAGTAGGATTTCAGATTTCAGTAGGATTAAAAAAGGGATGTTTTAATCTCATTTTTTATTAATTAAATACACCATATTGGAGCAAATGTCTCTGAAAATATCACAAATAGAATTCTCTCATTCTGCATTTATAGGTTGACAGCTATGAGCTTCATTTTTTGTTTGTTGCGTGATTTCGGGTTGGAGGGAAAAGGGAATAGGGTTAGCTGCTGTGTGTAGTATGTACGGTAGTCACAATGGGACAAAAACATTTACATGCATACATACTGTACATGGTAGTTTTACAAATACACCAAGAGAGTTCATGATTTGATTTCCACAAAAAAGCCACGGATACTTCTTTGAACCCAGTCTTCAGGATTTTTTTATATCATCCGAAATGAATCACATTCCCTTTACAACATCTAAAATATAGAAAGAGAAGATACCATGTTTTGAAGAAAAGGAGAATAGACAAGGTAGGACAAAAATATAAAGGAAAAAAGAAAGTCAGTATTCCCCCACTACATTTTCAAACAAGTGTCATGAAAGTAGATTCAAAAATCGCTGCAGTGGATCAGCTTCATTTGTCATTTTAATTTCACCCTTTCTGTCTCTTTTTTTTTTTCCCCTCTCCAGCTGGTCTCTCTCCCTTTCAGTCTTTGAGTCCCTCAGGATCAGAGGTCTCGCCTGGGTCAGTTCATAGAGTCCTCAGTATTCCCCCTCCAGGGCCTCATGGGTATTTTCCATCCATGATTCAGGAGTTTGGAGTAAAGGGCGGCTCTGGCTATTGTAGGTCAAGGTGGAGCTCAAGCCTGAGATTGGTGCTCTGTTTCGGAGTAGCGGAACTTTGAGAAAAGGAGTGGGATGGGGTCCGATCCGAAAAGGTCTTGGGTGACAATGAGTGAGGGGCTGAAATGAAGGCACACATCCTGCTTTGAGCAACACCGGCATCCTAACACACCTGGAGGGCAAAGAGAGAAACCGGTTAGACACACTTAAACCGAAAAATACAATTACAACCAGTAAATGGGTCGATGACAAATTTTGTCAAAGCTGAAAAAAGGAAAAATCTTTAACAAATATACTTTAAAACATAAAAAGTTGATTATATTATATATATGATTATGAAATGGCTTTGAAAACATTGACACACTATTTTAAAAAAACATTTATTTACTACATTTAATGAAAAAGTAATGTGGTGTAACTATATATTTTAACTATTTACAAATATAAATATAATAAAATATATATTCTCACTTGCCCGGTCTTGAAAAGGTCTAATTATCTGATATTATAAGAGACTCGTTGACATTTTTGGTTCTGTCTATAGTTTCATATCCATTTTTTTTTTTTTTTTTGTGCACTCTGGTCACACAACAATTATTAATACATGAAATAGATCAATTAATCTAACGTTCAACTTCTACAAAGGTGTATTCAAGTAACTGGAAGTATGAATGCCACTGACCCAAATTAACTAAATGTCAATTTTGCTATAAACTACAGTCAGCAAGTTTTGAAAATGAAATTCTTAAAAATAAAAACAATTTTAAAAAACTGTAGTAGCAACTAACAACTTGTCTTATAAAAAAAGTCATATAATATAGTAGCGTCTTTCAATGGGAGTCATAAAAATTGCATGTTCTCTTAAATAACATACTCCATTTCTATTGTCAAATGAAGACCGCCAGCTCTGCTAAAGCCCCCTGCTTAACTTATTGATCAGTAAGGCTTTGAAATCCATCTGCCGCCCTATTTCCTCTGCATTTTAAGTGCATATTGTAAAGTTAGTCTCTTTTTGTCTCATTTTTAACAATGATGTGCCACAGTCCCCAGGGTGCTAAGTTCTTGCGCAGCCGAGACAATTATCCCAATATCCAAGCGCAGCGTTCCGCTTTCACAGACAGTCACGGCAAACTTTTTACCCCCTAACATTCTCCTTCCTTTTGTTTTTTAAACATTCTAGGGGGCAATTTGCTTTTCCCGTCTTACCTCAAGTTACTAAGGGGTTTCAGGCTACTGTAATAGTAATTGCGAGCCCTCCACGCCACCCCACATTGGAGGGCTAATTAAAGAGACGGAGGCTGTGAAAGTTTGGATCCCCTGGGTTCAGGCTCAGCATGAGAAAGGTAATTTGTCTGTCCTGAACAAAGAGATTAGGGAGAAGCCGGGGAGCTACTTAATAAATGAGCATCAAATGTCCTCAGCCGTGGACACGGACAGCACCAATTATGTCACCATGAAATTGCACATAATAAAAACAATGGCTGCCGGACGAGGCCTCCTATCTGTCTAGGGAAGCGTTTGGTCAGTTCTCTCTCTCACTCCTTTCTGTACTGGCTTGTTTCAGCTCCCAGCTTATTTCTATAGGTTCAGAGGAGAATTACAGCTAACTTCAAAATCTGAGCAAAAAAATGCACCGCAATCTCATAAATTACAGAGTTTCTTTAATAATAAGTTCCCTAAAAATGATTTGAATCTCTCTGTACCAAGCGAAAACACGACTGTTTAAGTATCTCCTGAGGACACGTGGACCTTCTTCTGTTCCTGCTGGTGAAGAGGGGTGTCTGGGTGTATTTAAGAACTCTCTCTCCGCTATAATTAAAGCAGCGAGGCCAATATTCAGATTGCATTTTAGCATTAATAATTCAGCTGTTTTCACTACAATTGATGTCGGCACATAAATAAACAATGAGGCCTCATATTTACACAGCGGCAGCCGCCGAGCGAGAGCAGGGGAGAGGAAGGAGGAGGAATGGAAGGATGGGGGCTTAAAAAGACATTTAAAATTAAGCTTGATAATGCAAAGGCTTTCAATTTGAAACGCAACATGCTCTTGGAGCTAATTTGTAAAAGTGACGATGCCTTAAAAGGCCTCTAACGGAGCACCGAGCTTAATGGAGCTGTTTCCCCGCTCACTACATCTCTCCTCGAACTGTTTTTTTCCCATTGAAGGTGAAATAAATGTTCACTAGGAAACTCGACAACTGTCCGATCTCTCTCGTATACGCTCTCACATCCCCCTCGTCTCCATATCAATACTGATTATGTGTCACTGAGCTGTTATTTTCAGTGTTGCCGAGTGATACAATCGGCTGGTGGCTGACTACACAATGAAGTCTTATTGCAGACGGTCCCAAAGGCGAGAAGGGGAATTAGGTAAATAATTTGCCTGCTTGGCGTCTGGGTTTGTTTATTTAAAGCTTGCTGTGCAGCGTCGGAGGAGCAAATAGTCAGGCAGAACTGTGGAGGTGAAAACAGAGATGAAAATGGGACAGAATGCTTGACGCCAGCTAGCTTTTTTGTAAAAAAACAAAAAAACACCAACATTAAACCAAACCAGATTAAGAAATGAAAACACGCCTTTTGTTGTTGAGCAAAGTGGGTGCCAGGGTTTCCTGTTATGTAATCTTATGGATGGCAAATTAACTATACATAATAAGTATTGAATGTGAATGTGTCAGGGTTTGGAAGAAGGAAATAATTTTCACCTTCCTTACCCATCCTGTATCTAAAAAGCTTGCGATAGTTGTGATCTCATTTCAGCAAGTTAACATTAATTGTGATATATTAGCTTCCAGCCAGGAAGAATTACACTTGTCCTCTAGACCTTATTATGGGTTAGGAGCACAGAATTAGATATGATACATTTATTTTTCAATCTAAATAAAACAGAAATTAAAAGCAATATTTTGTTTAGTGACTGACTGAATGGTGTTTTGCTAAAAAAAAAAAATAAAATAAAAAACAAGATACATGAAGTGATCCTCAACCTATAGCAGAGGATTTTAAGTGTGAAGTTTTGATAGCAGACAGATAGCGGCTCTCACTTTCTGGTCAGGCAGTAGAGGGTTAGTCTGCAGTGAACTCAAATGGCCGTTGATGAGTGCTGTGGGTCTGTCGTGTTCGCAGAACAAGCTGCCGTTGATGTAGTGAAACCTGTCACCAGGGACCAGCCGGTTCCGGCAGGTAGAACATGTGAAACACTGCAGGAGACAATGAAAAGGACTCCATTACCCACAAGTCTCAGCACATCCCATCTCTGATCAATCTCTGGACAAGTTAAATCATTATCCATTATCCTTATTTCCTACAGGGATTCTACATGGGCATTAAACATAGATGAAAAGACTGACTAAAATTTAAACACAATATGATATTTTTGGTATCAATAATAGACAATTTTTTATAGAGAACTCCATCAAACAACCATTGAAAAGCAGACTCTATGGAGTGTGAAAGGATTCTCTAGTGCAATGAAGCATTTAATTCTAGAGCAGCCGTGGTCACTTAAAGATTAAAGGTTACCTTGAGATGGTACACGTTTCCCTGTGCCCTCATAACCAGTTCACTGGCTGGGATGGACTGACCACACGCACTGCACGCCCCACTGTTCCCAAATAACCTGTGAAAAGAAACAGAGACATGTTAGGATTGTCAAAATAAGAGATAAAGTGTGAGAGCTGAATCTGTCTTAGACAAAGCCTAAATCAAAACATTGTAAATGTTACAGCACGAATGTATCAGCGAAAAGTGGCAGAAAATATCATGAACAAAAATATCAAATATTAGCTTCAAACTAAATTATTCATTAAGATGTACAAATGAGGAAATAAAGGTAATTACGTGAGGGAAGACAAACATTATGACCATGACCAATATCGCCCTCATTGACATGATCTATTTTCGTTCACACAGTATGACCTGTGCAGACAAATGAAATCTTTCTGCATTAATAACTAAGGCACACAATTTGCAAGTGATTTTTTTTTCAGTCAATGACATTTTATAAAATATATTTTCAGACTGTTTTTTAAATGAACTTCTTGTATGGCTTCAGAAGGTTTGGTACACTACCATTCAAAGGGGTTTATGCTTTCAAAAGGTCTCTTATGCTCATCAAGGCTGCATATATTTGATCAAAAAGTAATACTGTGAAATACTGTCACCATTTAACGGTTTTCTATTTATCATATTTTAAAATGTAATTTATTCCTATAATGGCAACGCTGAATTTTCCGCAGTCATTACTTCAGTCTTCAGTGTCAAATGATCCTTCAAAATGATTCTAATATGCTGATTTGCTGCTCAAGAAACATTTCTTATTACCACATCTGAAAACTTGCTGCTTACATTTTTTGGTGGAAACTGGAATGCGGTTTCAAGTTCAAAAGAGCAGCATTTATGTGAAATAGAAATCTTTTGTAACAATATAAATGTTGATGAATTTAATGTGTCCTTATTTAATAAAAGTATATATTTCTTTCACAAAAAAACAAAAACTTACCTACTCTAAACTTTTAAAAGGTGGTTTATATAGTGCATTAGGCATGTGGACTGATATTACAATACTTTGTAGTATTTTATTGCACTTTCTGGAGCTTGACAGTCATGGTCACCATCCACTCTCATCGTATGGAAGAGAGAAGCCTTAACATTTTTCAAAACTTCTCCACTTGTGTTCCACATTTGAAAGTAAGTTACATGGCTTTAGAACATGAGGGCAAGTAAATGACAATAAATGAGTTTGATTTGAAACAAAACACAACAGACATGCATAACACAAGGTCTTTATTAACACTGACACTAATGAATACTTCTGTGTGCATCAAAAAGGTTTGTTAACCTGTCTGGCCTTGTTTTACTGTAACAATGAAATCCTTGCAAGGACAGGTTAAATCATTTCAATCCTGTGCCCGGGCCTCCTTTTCTCCCTCTCGCAGTCTCTCTCTCTCTCTCAAATGCACACATGCAGAACAAATTACATCTTCAATATTCTGATGTAGGAAAAATAAAATCATAGTAATATCAGCAAACCAAATGAAAAAAATCCTGCATCCTGTCCTCCAAAAGCCTCTGCCACTGGGACTAAGTATTACCTTTGGTGTTCATTTTTTGCAACCTAATAATAACCTAGAACATAAGCAATCAGGGCCTAAGAATATTTGATTGTACATCTAGGCGGAGACACAGCGCTTTTGCCATTAGGACTCAAGCGAGTGCTCAGTCACTGCCGCCTTTCCATTAGAAACCCCCGGCTACCCGGGTTGATATATAATGTGCATGGGTTAACCTTTTCAATCATAGTGTCAACATTTTAGATTTGCTTCTGCTCATCTCTTTCGTCTCTAACCTTCCCTCTCTCTCCCTCTCTCTCTCTCAGTCTCTTGATAATGAAATGCTTGCTCCTGCTTCGTTTCTATCTGCCTTCTGAGTCCACAATTTAGATTACTTCATCTTGCCGAGCAACAAACTGAATGAAATTTCGATTTGAGCAGAAAGTAATTTACTGGGATCTGGACCCATTTGTCATCATATCTCACTGGCTGTTTGCTCTATCACTGCACTTTTCCTATGCAATCAAATAAGACCACAGCATCTGACAAGCTCCAGAGAGAGAGAGAGGGAAATATGAGGAAAGAAGCAAGAAAGAAAGAGACCGTTAGAAGGATAGAGGGAGGGAAATGGGGAATGGCTACAAAAGGATAGAGAGGAAAGACATGAAGGAAACGGTGGGTGTCACAGCATGTCCCTCGTGTACACAGTTACAGATTAACCTAAGAGTTCATGGATGATTTCGTCCCACAAGATTCTTCCAACTCGTAAAATGATAAACGCACATTGTACGGATGCCGATATAACATTACAGCATGCATGTGAACGTGTACGTTCTGACATCGAAACAGCTGTTACCTGCGACGTTTTGCATACACGTGGCGTTTATTGAGGGCGCTACATGACGAGCGAGTGAAGCTTTAAGAGTTTCTCTTCAGCGGCGGCTGTAGGGTGAGGCGGGGGGAGGGGAAAACAAATTTGGCTGTGGCATCGATTGGAGCAGCTCAATCAAAACTCAATTTCAAACGTAATTAGCTGTAGGCTTGTGACAACAGCGCAGCAGCGCAGCTGTCGATGGGCCAGTCATGCTAGGCAAATGTCAGGGGGGAAGGTCTTTAAACGCTGCAGTTTGATTCACCTATTCACCTGCATCTTCCCCCGGCCTTGAGAAAGCAATCTGCCACGCCACGACGTGTGCTTGATTTGACAATCCCCAAGAGCTCGCATCTAAATTCACTTACAAGCACATTATTTAGGATCCGGGCTCAGAGTGCGCTCCCCTTTTAATTGTCCCGTTGTCTTTCAGAGGAAAACCGTGAAGAATCTCCAGGCAACCTTTTGATTTTCTTGCCTCTCTATACATAGTGTAGCAGCTTAATTATTTGAGCAGGGGATGGCTGCTGATAGCATTTGATTTAAAGGCCTGAAGGCTTTAGGTGCTCAATTAAGTTGCTATCAGTCTGCTCCTCACCTCTAATGGTCTCTCTCTCCATTGAACTTGTGTGCTGACAAGGGGAGCGTAGAGGAGCGATATCACGGGTCACCATAATTAAGGCCAAGGAACTCTTTAATTGCAATGACAACACCAGTTTTGGCTTCCTTCTCCTCAAATCAGCCTCTCCTTTGTTGTTTTCTCACTTTCTAGGTATTCAGCCCCTTGATCAATCAGAGGAGGAGGATTTAGTCAGCGAAACATTGTGGAATGCTGATTTATTGACTTGCTTAGTCTCGGAACGGGCGGAATAAAGAGGGGCTACAATCTACGGCTGTCTTTCATCACGAAAGCAAGACAAGAAATCTGTCTGCGCTCCATAGGCGATGTCTAGAGGATTTAATTTGGATACCGACTGTGAGGTAAAATACAACCTAGCAGGGCTGTTTTGGGCCATCTGGCAGTAGCTCGGCCTCTTAAGCGGAACCTTTTGAGAGGAGAGATGTAAGTTGTTACAACAATGATTTCTGCAACACAGACCATTATAAAAATGGCTCTCAACATTAACAGCCAAAGCACCTTAAAAGCACTGGGCCATATTGATACTTAAGCAGGGCTTTGCATAATGGCAATGTTACATTAGGGGGAGAGAGAGAGAGAGAGAGAGAGAGAGAGACATACAATAAAACCAGATTAAGAAATGAAAACACAGCTTTTGCTGTTGAGCAAAGTGGGTACATGAAAATCTGTGACCAATATTTTCAGGATTTCATGTTTTGTATCTTGTGGATGGCAAATTAATTATACATAATCAGTACTGAATGTGAATGTGTCAGAGTTAGGAACAAGGACATATTTTTCACTCCTTGCCTGTCTTGTAACTAAAAAGCTTACATTAGCTGTGATCTCATTTCAGCAAGTTAACATTAATTGTGATCAATTAGCTTCCAGCCAGGATGAATTACGCTTGTCCTCTAGACCTGACTATGGGTTAGGTTCACAGAATTAGATATTCGGTTCTGTTCCTTAAAACAAAAGCAATATTTTGATTAGGGACTGACTGAATGGTGTGTTTGGCTAAAAAAAAAACCTATAGAAGAGGATTTTAAGTGTGAAACTTTGATAGCAGACAGATAGCGGCGCTCACTTTCTGATCAGGCAGTAGAGGGTTAGTCTGCAGTGAACTCAAATGGCCATTGATGAGTGCTGTGGGTCTGTCGTGTTCGCAGAACAAGCTGCCGTTGATGTAGTGAAACCTGTCACCAGGGACCAGCCGGTTCCGACAGGTAGAACACGTGAAACACTGCAGGAGACAAGGAAAAGGACTCCATTACCCACAATTCTCTGATCAATTTCTGGAAAAATTCAGTCATTGTCTACTTATTTTAACTTCTCATTATTTCCTTATGGGGATTCAACATGGGCATTTAATACTGATGAAAAGACTGACTAAAATATGCACACTATATTTTTGATTGGGTATCAATCATAAGCTAAAAGAAAAAAAAATAGAACACCATCAAACAATCATTAAAAAGTAGACTATATGGAGTGTGAAAGGATTCTGTAGCGCAATGAAGCATTTCATTCTAGAGCAGCAGTGGTCACTTAAAGATTAAAGTTTACCTTGAGATGGTACACGTTTCCCTGTGCCCTCATAACCAGTTCACTGGCTGGGATGGACTGACCACACGCACTGCACGCCCCACTGTTCCCAAATAACCTGTGAAAAGAAACAGAGGCATGTTAGCATTGTCAAAATAAGAGATAAAGTGTGAGCCCTGAATCGGTCTTAGACAAAGCCTAAATCAAAACACTGTGAATGTTACAGCATGACAGAAATTACCATCAGCAAAAAGTGCCAGAACATATCATTAACAAAAATCTCAAATAATTAGGAATTAAATTATCCATTAAGATGTACAAATGAGGAAAAAGGTTAATTACGTGAAGGAACACAAACATTACTACCACATTTCATACCAATATCTCACTCCTTTACGTGATCTATTTTCGTTCACACAGTGTGACCTGTGCAAACAAAATAAATCTTTCAGCATTAATAACTAAAGCCATCAATTGTATGCGGTTTGAAATTGATTTTTTTAAGTCATTGACATTTTATAAATAATATGTTCAGTCTGTTCTTTAAATTAACTTCTCGTATGGCTTCAGAAGGTTAGGTTTACTACCGTTCAAAAGGGGTATGTTTTTTTTTTTCTTTTCAAAAGAAGTCTCTTATGCTCATCAAGGCTGCATATATTTAATCAAACAGTAATATCGTGAAATATTATCACCATTTAAAATAACTGTGTTCATATTTTTAAATTATAATTTTATTTTTAATTTATTCCTATAATGGCAAAGCTGAATTTTCAGCATCATTACTCCAGTCTTCAGTGTCACATGATCCTTCAGAAATGGTTGTAATATGCTGATTTGCTGCATTTCTTTTTATTACCACATCTGAAAACCTCCTGCTTATTTATTTATTTGTATTATTTTATTGTATTATTTTGTGGAACCTAGAATAAGTTTTTTCAGGTTTCTTTTTTTAAATAGAATGTTCAAAAGAACAATTTATTTGAAATAGAAATATTTTGTAACAATATAAATGTTGATAAATTTAATGTGTCCTTGCTGCATAAAAGTATACAAAAAAAAATCTTACTTTAGACTTTTAAAAGGTGGTGTAAAAAGTGCATGAGTCATGTGGACTAATATTACAATGCTTTATAGTATTTTATTGTACTTTCTGGAGCTTGACAGCTATTGCCAACATCCTCTTTCATTGTATGGAAGAGAGCAGCATTAACATTTTTAAAAACTTCTCCTTTTGTGTTCTATGTTTGAAAGTAAGTCATATGGGTGATGACTGAGATTTTAAATAAAACACAACAGACATGCACAAGGTCCTTATTTCTGTGTGCATCAAAAAGGTTTGTTAACCTGTCTGGCCTTGTTTTACTGTAACAATGAAATCCTTGCAAGGACAGGTTAAATCATTTCAATCCTGTGCCCGGGCCTCCTTTTCTCCCTCTCGCAGTCTGTCTCTCTCTCTCTCACATGCACACATGCAGAACAAATTACATCTTCAATATTCTGATGTAGGAAAAATAAAATCAAACCAAATGAAAAAATCCTGCATCCTGTCCTCCAAAAGCCTCTGCCACTGGGACTAAGTATTACCTTTGGTGTTCATTTTTTGCAACCTAATAATAACCTAGAACATAAGCAATCAGGGCCTAAGAATATTTGATTGTACATCTAGGCGGAGACACAGCGCTTTTGCCATTAGGACTCAAGCGAGTGCTCAGTCACTGCCGCCTTTCCATTAGAAACCCCCGGCTACCCGGGTTGATATATAATGTGCATGGGTTAACCTTTTCAATCATAGTGTCAACATTTTAGATTTGCTTCTGCTCATCTCTTTCGTCTCTAACCTTCCCTCTCTCTCCCTCTCTCTCTCTCAGTCTCTTGATAATGAAATGCTTGCTCCTGCTTCCTTTCTATCTGCCTTCTGAGTCCACAATTTAGATTACTTCATCTTGCCGAGCAACAAACTGAATGAAATTTCGATTTGAGCAGAAAGTAATTTACTGGGATCTGGACCCATTTGTCATCATATCTCACTGGCTGTTTGCTCTATCACTGCACTTTTCCTATGCAATCAAATAAGACCACAGCATCTGACAAGCTCCAGAGAGAGAGAGAGAGAGAGAGAGAGAGAGAGAGAGAGAGAGAGAGAGAGAGAAATATGAGGAAGGAAGCAAGCAAGAAAGAGACCGTTAGAAGGATAGAGGGAGGGAAATGGGGAACGACCACAAAAGGATAGAGAGGAAAGTGATGAAGGAAACGTTGGGTGTCACAGCGTGTTTCTCGTGTACACAGTTACAGATTAACTCAAGAGTTCACGGATGCTTTCGTCCCCCAAGATACTTCCAACTTGTAAAACGATAAACGCGCATTGTGCAGATTCCGATATAACATCACGGAATGCATGTGAACGTGTGCGTTCCGACATCGAAACAGCTGTCACCTGCGATGTTTTGCATACACGTGTAGCGTTTATAGAGGGAGCTACTCGACGAGCGGGCGAGCGAAGCTTTAGAGTTTCTCTTCAGCGGCGGCTGCAGGGGGAGGCGGGGGGGAGGGGAAAACAAATTTGGCTGTGGCATCGATTGGAGCAGCTCAATCAAAACTCAATTTCAAACGTAATTAGCTGTAGGCTTGTGACAACAGCGCAGCTTCAATGGCGTCGATGGGCCAGTCATGCTAGGCAAATGTCAGGGGGGAAGGTCTTTAAACGCTGCAGTTTGATTCACCTGTAAAATGACATCTTCCCCCGGCCTTGAGAAAGCAATCTGCCTTGCCACGACGTGCGCTTGATTCAACAATCCCCGAGCGCTCGCACCTAAATTCACTTACAAGCACACATTATTTGGGATCCGGGCTCAGAGTGCGCTCCCCTTTTAATTGTCCCGGTGTCTTTCAGAGGAAAAGCGGGAAGAATCTGCAGGCAACCTTTTTATTTTCTTGCCTCTCTATACGTAGCATAGCAGGTTAATTATTTGAGCAGGGGATGGCTGCTGATAGCATTTGATTTAAAGGCCTGAAGGCTTTAGGTGCTCAATTAAGTTGCTATCAGTCTGCTCCTCACCTCTAATGGTCTCTCTCGCCATTGAACTTCTGTGCTGACGAGGGGAGCATAGAGGAGCGATATCACTGGTCACCATAATTAAGGCCAAGGGACCCTTTAATTGCAACGACACCACCAGTTTTGGCTTCCTTCTCCTCAAATCAGCCCTCTCCTTTGTTGTGTTCTCACTTTCTAGGTATTCAGCCCCTTGATCAATCAGATGAGGAGGATTTTGTCAGCGGAAACATCGCGGAATGCTGATTTATTGACTTGCTCCATCTCGGAACGGGCGGAATAAAGAGGGGCTACAATCTACGGCTGTCTTTCATTACGAAAGCAAGACAAGAAATCTGTCTGCGCTCCATAGGCGATGTCTAGAGGATTTAATTTGGATGCCGACTGTGAGGTAAAGTACAACCTAGCAGGGCTGTTTTAGGCCATCTGGCAGAAGCTCGGCCTCTTAAGCGGAACCTTTTGAGTGGAGTGATGGAAGTTGGTACAACAATGATTTCTGCAACACAGTCCATTATAAAAATGCCTCTCAACATTAGCAGCCAAAGCACCTTAAAAGCACCGAGCCATATTGATACTTAAGCAGGGCTTTGCATAATGGCAATGTTACATTAGGGAGAGAGAGTGAGAGTGAGAGAAAGAGAGAGAGAGAGAGGGAGAGAGAAGGTGGGTGGGGTGGAAGGCAAGAGTAGGGGGAGATTTCACGGCAAAGAGAGCGGCGGGCGGTGGGGGCTGAGAGCAGCCAAATGACACTCGGTTAATTCAGAGTAACAGATCTAGTCCCAAGTGGATTGAAGGCCTTGAATTAATTCTGTTATGACAAATCAAGATAAACGTTTCCCCTAAATTGCATGCGATTTAATTAATTTCTGAGATCCAAGTATTTCCTGGCTTAATAGTTCACATGCTCCTGTGCTGTCATAGTGCTTGAGTAGGCAGACTTCAAAGTGATATTAAATAACCAACTATTAGATTTACCTAGCACGTTCTATTGGAAAAGTGCCATTTAATTACCTGGCTCTATTCAATTAAAAGGACAGTGTTTTCCCCCCCGACCTAATGGTCACATGATTGCTCTCTCCCTAAATTAATTCCCTCTCTCTCTCTCTGTCTCGGTTCTCTCCGGAAATATCAGCGATGGCTTAGGGACAACATGATTTCCAATGAGTCCCTCCTGCTTCTCTGGGGCTAAAACTGCTGAAATCTACAACTCGCGGCGGTTGCCCTTGTGCTTGGCGCTGGTGGCCTCGAGCAGAGTGGTATCAGAAGCCTATCATCCCATGTAATTTCCCCCCATCTGCCATTAGGGAAAATAGGATGCGTTTTCACTCGTGCCATCCCAATCAATCGCTAAGCCTTTTTGCATCAGTGGTATTAATATAATTCTGGATATGTAACTTCATTATTTACACAGCAAGGGCAATTTAATAATCCATTACAAAAATAAGGGAGGCCCCTTTAAAATCCCCTAAGGGGACTGGCCTTCGCAATAATCCCCTCTTCTCTCTCTCTCCCTTGCTCTCCCGCTCTTTCAAAAGCCAATTTGGTTAATTAAATGTTTTGTTTGCAATGTGGCTCTCATTCATTTCGGACACGTCATTGGAAGCGGATAGGAGCCAGGCACTAGATCTCATTAGATAAAACCCATCAGGACTAAAGGAAAATGGAGGGGGACTCTAATTAAAGCTTTTAATTGTGTGGACTCACTGTCAGATGTTATTTTCCCCCTCTCTCTTATCTCTCCTCAGATCACAGGCTTGCGCGAGCTGTGTTTTAGCTCCGTTCTCCCACCCGACGCGCTCTCATTACAAGGAGAAAGGTGTAGCTACTTTTCCCTCCCCGCTCGTTTTAATTAGGCTCACAGGCCCGATTCTAGAGGCCAGTCTTGTGGACTTGATCCCTTCAGATCAGGTGGAGTGGAAAGAGTGAAGGCACTCTTCACATTCGGACTGGTCGTCTCAGGTTTGCTCTGGTTGACACCTGTTGTTCCAGCCTGCCAGCAGCAGTGTCAGTGCGAGGCTTCGCTGAATTATCCAGGGCGAAGCACATGCCAAGGTAAATACTCACTAATGACTGCACTTCTGCCAAAAAACACTGTTTTCCGGCAGGAAGAGCTGAATATATCATGGATACTTCATTTTATGAATTAACTTTTAAATTGCTCTGCCTGTTTTAATAAGAAAAATATAGGCTTTCCGTTATCAGTGGCACTCACACGGTGTTTTTCCATTCCTCAAAACCAAAGAAGTAATGCAAGAAGACTGCAAACTTCTCAATGCAAGAAGTTCTAGAGGGCTTTCTGTTTGCCCTTGCAGAGGTCAAGGCGTTGAAGGATCAGCCTGTCAAATCAGGCCATCCACATCAGCTGAGTGAGACTGCCGTGCCGTCACCCCGCCACCACTTTGGGTGTCAGACTTACTTGCATAAATAATTAAAAAGGGTCTTTTTGCTAATTAAATGGTCTCTTTGTGATAAACAAAACATGCTGGAGAGGATGTGAAAACTCTTTTAAATTCCTGCAGAGTCGAAGGTCAGCTCTGCCTTACCAATCGAGTTTTCTAGCATCTCGTAAAGAAAACACACACACACGGTCCTAGCAGCACGGCTCCTTTTGCTTAAGGATGAAATATGGTGAGAGCCACAGACTTGCAGATGTTCTGGAGAAAGAATCTCCTTCGTCTTCTGCTCTGTCAACATGTCAGTGGCTTGACCTCTTTTTTAAGAGTGTCCCGTTGAGGGTTTAACCAGCGCGCTTTAACTAGGGCTGCTGACGGCACAATCTGAGACACATGTTCTCAATGGAAAATACGCTTCGCTCCGTGAGAAGCTTGATGGCTTGTAACTTTTTCCTTAATATCTTTTTTTTCTTGACAACCATCACTTCATCTAATCATTACATGCCTAATGTCATTTCATGTGGTCTTTGGACTGTCATAATGTCCAGATGTATGAGCTATCTGAAGTTTGGCTTCAAAGACCATGAAAAAGGAGCTGAGCAAAACTACACTATCCTCAAAACACATTACTGAAAACTGCTTTTAAAATGAATTTCACAAGTGCAACAGAAATCTGAAGGAACTTCAAAGAATGCCTTTACAAACACAAAAAGACATCCCTCAAACATGTGAATATGGTTCTGATTGTGACTTTCAAATTAATAAACGCAGCTAACCTGATGTAGTCGTTTCTACATAGGATCATGCCACTCTTGGTGTAGCAGGATGTGCCGATCTCTCCGAGCTGGGCCTGGCAGCAGGAACATTTCAGACAGCGGCTGTGCCAATAGCTGTCCATGGCATACAGGAGAAAACGGTCGGCGATCTTTCCCCCACATCCCGCGCAGCGCTTCCACGACAGAGATCCCGCTCCAACAGGTGGGGGCTGGGCACTTCCTCCAGGGTTCACCATTGTGTCTGCAGAAACATAAAGAGACAGCCGGGATACGCGGTTAGAACTGGTAGTCAATCAGGAGTTAAGAAGTTTATTCAAATGTTTTTTTTTTTTTTTTTGCTTAACATATTCTTTGGAAAGCCCCTTCAAAAATAAATTATATAACTATAAACTGCACATATGAAATGAAAACAAAAAAGAACAGTGTCCCTAAAAGTATTCAAATACCATCAGCATTACAATACTCCCTATCTTACGAAGTCAGCCCACTTCAGTTTCCTGAACTTCTGACAGAAGTTTTGTCCTTGCAATATCTAAACCACCTGGAGCCTGAACAGTGACCCAAAACATTGAATGTTTTCAGAGGCACGCTTCCTAAAAGCTCTTTTGAAATCATTGAAATGCATATAATGCCTGCAAGCAAGTCTGAGAATTGTTTTAAGTGGCAGGCTGTCCTTGATCTTTATCTAAGTGCTGAGGTCAGCTCATTTGGTCCATTTGTGATAAATGTCAGTTCGCTGATAACATTAGAGTCACTGGAACAATTAAAGAGGTGCTGGCTTTTGTTAGGTTGTCTGCATTGCTTTTAAACTACGTTTACCTCAACCTTCATGATGGTTAACATGAGAAAGAGAGAAACCCAAGCGCTACTGTGGCCAGAACTGGGGCAGTTAATTGGGGAACCTTGAAGTTGTGAGAACCATTCAGAGGTCGACATATTCCACTCGCTTTCACTAAGGTTATCAGATGACGGATTTCCAGCCAACATCATGAAGAACATTCAGCAAGCGTTTGCTTTGGGGACTGGTCACCACCGCGTGAAATTACCCCCGGTATGCTGGATCATTCAGCATATGCGAGAATCAGTTAATGCCGGCCCACAGAAATATCTGCTTCTGACAGAAATCGCATTAACCACGAACCCTCACTTATGATCGCAGTTCTGTACTTTGCTCTGTTGATCCATCAGTACCGCATGAGTGCACTTCTGCTCCATCCTTCCACTAATACATCTGAAATTTTAATCTTTCCCAGGTTTCATAAGGAGGACTGCTGGACCGAAGTGGGAAAGATTAAAATTTTAGATATATTCGTGGAAGGCTGTAAGCCAAATCTTTGTTGAAAGGTAATTAGAGGAGGAGAAGAGAGAGGAGGGGGTAGAAAACATTGCACTGAGAGAGAGAGGCATTCAGTAACCCCATTAGTGGAGGCTCTTAGGGACAAGCAATACCTTAGTGCTGATTAAATCTAAAGGGAGATGAATCAGAGACCGAAAGTGACTCCCCCAGATAAATAAGATCGGACCATCGTCAAGTTTCATTCCCAGTAAGAGGGAAGAGGGGAGATTTGAAGAGAGGGAGGGGGTGGCTTTTAAGTCAAATGGGCAAACTCAAGTAATTACACGGACAGGCAATTTAAGCGAGGGGATGTGCAGAAATATAAAACAGATCAGCAGCCCATGGCCAGTAATACAGATCGCAGTCCTGGAGCCTAAATACAGCTGCTCCTACCACAACGCACAAGGCACAGCAAAAGATACAGAATAGCACTTATGTTATGGTTTGCTGATCATCTGTACAGCACGCGAGCACTTCTGCTACACAATTTTGATACTATAAACTCAAAACGCCTGCCATTTCCATCGAGCTTCTATCTAAACGTGTGGTCTTGATGCGAGTAAACACACAAGCAAATACACTACATTACGATCTCTAGTTATTACGTTATTTGTTACGCGCGTGACATGCAACACAAATCACATTTACAATAAAAACGTCTAAAAATGTATGCTTGCATTGCACTAATCTGGAACATTATTTGTGTCGATCTCCCTCTCGCGACATGAAATTACTATTATTCATCAAATAAAAAGTGTTGTTGACAAATGTACTCACCTATTTGAAATGCAATGGTTGAATGGTTAATGAAAAATGTATAGCAGGCTGTTTTGTCGGTAGACAATAAAAATAACGCGCACAGTCCAACAAACTCACAGACGGAGCGCGTGCATGAATACTTCTCACTGCTGCGAAAGAGTGGAGCAAATGGAGTTTTCAGATTGTATTTCCACTGTTGCCGTCACCTTTTCAGATGTTCTGGTTATCACTGGAAAGATCGACTGCGGTTTTGTTAAATGAGCGTTCGGGAATGTCTTCCGTAATTTCCACAGATGAAGCGAGCGCCTCTGTTTGGAACTGTCCTCCGCGCTGATGTCTCGCCGTTGCTTGTCGCTTGTGCTGTACAACGTCTACATGTGTCAGTGACAGAAAAAGCCCAGAGTAAACCTCCTCTCACAGGATGACGTCAATCAGGCTGCGGCCAATCACGACGCACCCCATTCAAGCGGAATGGCAAATCCAGCCAATCAGAAGAAGGCGAGATTGACTTAGACACACACCGTTCAAAGGCTGAAAGATTGCGGTTGAGAGTGGGCTCTTTTTGCTTTTTGAGGTTGGATAGGGCAGTGGTTCTCAACCGGGAGGGCCGGGACCCACTAGGGGGCCTCAGTAAACTTTCAAAGGACCACTACATGGCTTTATTAGCCTACTACAAAGAAAAATAACGCAATTAAAACGAGAAATATATGTGCGTCATATTTCTCACGTTGGAGAGAACTTTAAGCAACTTTAAACTGTTAGTTATTTGAGCGGATAGTTTAAGTTATGGCGAACGTCTGCAGAAACCAATTCTACATCTGGAGAATTTCTCTAGTATCTACAAAAGAGATTTGTTACTTACATACTTTGTTGTCTCATATTAGAGGGAAATCTTGAGAGTAAATATGATTTTTATGTATTTGTGTATTTATTTAATGTACTGACAGTCCTTGGTTCTCTTAATAAAAGTTTGAAAACAAGCTTGTGGTTTTTGTTATCATAACAGCAGACGTACAGGAGGAAAAAACAAGGCTGTGTATAGGGACAAAAATCAACAAAAAAGTGGGGGACCACAGAATTATTGATATACGGAAATGGCACAACATGTTTATGTATTACAAGTAAGCAGCATTCAGGAAAAATTCTCTGAAAATGGCAAAGTTTTTCCATATGAAAATACTACTACTAATAATAATAATAATAATAATAACCTTTTATATTTACTATGGTGCAAAAACTATACTACTGACTACAGTGCACTAACTATACAAAAGTCCATTTGGTTTCATGGACAAAGTAAAAAAGTCAGTATACCAAGTCACGCTTATGTTCCTTATTACAGGGGCGCCATCCACTGGTATAAATAAGAACTACAATAATAGATTTTGTTGGTACAACTGACAGATTTTCTCCTGTTCTGAGACTTGATGCACATAACCGGAATAAATTCTGAAAATAATCTACAAGAATTTCATTCATTTAACTGACTGATAAGACATCTCAATATGTCACAACCTTTTAAAACACAAAAGAGATATTCCATTTAGGCTACTACAGTTTTCCTGAATTCACCAACATCCACGGATTAAAAAAATAAATAATAATAATAATCCTTTTCAACTAAGGCATATAAGAGAAACTGTTTGTATATTTCCGTGGGCACAGAAACCCAGAGATTGATTGTTTGCTAAGGCAATTTCTCATCTAGGGCTGAATATTGCTCTTGTTCCTGCACAGAAGTGATTAAATGTTTGTCATTTCACAATTAAAGAACCTGAAACCACCTAACAGCCTTTTTTTTTTTTTTGCCAAAAGGCCTATTCATCTCAGCGAGACTACATTTCTAAGTGCACAGTAACTCGCAGTGTGTAAAGGCAATGTGTTATTGTTTTCTGTCATGAAATGAACACATTTAATAATTAAAGAAAATGACCGCTCTGCTCCATTCTTTTTTCTTTTTTTTTTTAATGATATCTTCATAATAGTTTCCAACTGATTTTCATTTGTCACTGAAAATACATTCAACGTCCCAGCCGGAAGGAGCAAGAAGTGAGACGTTATGTGATGTTCTACTGAGTTTCAGTGGGCAGCTAATCTTTACGAGACAAAACTGTGTAATTATGAGTTGCCTCTGGATTCATTAGTAAGATGTACATTGTGTAAAGAGTCTCCTATACCAGATACTAATGGTTTAATTGTCGTTGGTCCTGGCTGATTGCAGCGAGCAGTTTGATTTCCCTGCAGGAAAGGCAACTCTATTTCTCCCAGGATTGGGCTCAATTCTCTCCAACAAGAACAATGAGCCAAAGATGGCAAAGAATGTATTTTCCACGAAGGAATAATTAATTTATCTCAACTATTAAAACTAGTGGGAAATTATGGGATGACTCTGAATGGGGGCCTCAGAGGAAAAGCTTTGTTTGTTCTTGGGCTGTTTTAATGAGCTTTTCACAAATGGCCAAGAAAAAATACTTCTTTCTCTTCTCCTTTTGCAATATGATAGTCACACACAATAATGAGGAGGGGGTGCTTAGGGGATCCCATGAAAAAGAGCAACACCAAACCCCTTTTACTGATCTCCTGATGTCCTATCGCGAATCCTCCGCATCTATGTTGTGATTACAAACAGCACAAACAGAATAGAGGAACAGCACTGTTTAAACAGCAGCAAGAGAGAGTAAGCGATGGTCTAAAGAATTGATACCCCCATAGAGGGAGAGAAAGAGCTCATAATGAAGTTTGTGTCCTCTGGGGGAAACCAATTGAAGCCGGTAAGAGATATAGAGTATTCACCGTGATGCTTCATTTCAAATAAGAAATTTACCCCTCATGATATTACATTATTATGCTGTTAAACCGAGTGACTCTCCATCAAGCAGCAATGGGAAAAGGCTGAAAAGGCCTTTAAGACATTTTAGATCCATAAAACACAACATGATATGATTCAGATTTGAAACTGGAATAGGACAAAACACTGTGTTATTCCCGTTCTAAGACAACATTCCCACATATGCGGCTGTTACAATATAGCCGTGTTCGTGTCAAGGCCTTGCATTAATACAGAGATAATGGATTATTGATTGGTAAATACAAATGTCTTTTATAAAATGTTGGAGGGTAGTGGCTGAACATTGATGCTTGATTCAGTGAATTCAGCATTGCAGCATTGAGTTCCTGAGGGCTGATCTATGGCCAAATGAAATGAAAAGTCAACTGGCTAGAAATGGTTTTTCAAATGTGAATTCAATGGTGCCTGAGGTCTTTGCTCTCATATCATCTATGTGAGGATATGTTGCTAACCCTTCTCCGTTTTCCATTATGTGTACTTTACCCAGGTGAGTGTAGCATGCCTGCAGCACCTAGATGGGTGGCGTGACACTGAGAAATATTGAATTGCATATTTCAAGACAGATTGTTTGCTCTACACGCTCATAAAGATGGAGAAAACAATCTCAAAGTCATTTCTTTAATATGCTGTTATTGACTGCTTTGATCAATCTTGTGTCAGCAGCGAGCAAGTAAGTGAGCTTAATTAAATACAAATCAATAATTCCTTAACAAATAGCGCATGGACTCGAGAAACAGACCCAGTAGAATTAATTGGGGAGCATTTGTGTAGCTAAACCGTTTGGGAAACTTCATCAAGAATTCAGCTCTCCATCTTTGGCGAACATTTATACATTATGCATGTCATTTAAATGCAATTAGAGGTCCTAATATGTTAATCTCTTTCATTTATTTGCCAAAGCTTTTTTTGTAATTACATTGTTGTAAACAATGATAAAACTGTGTCCTCATGCATGCAACTGGATAATTGGCTACTCACAACACATTTAGTAGATTAGACTAAAACTATTATACAATCATATCTGGGAAACTGGCTGTAAGATGCCCGCTGTGTCTTCATTTCCAGTCATTGGTAGCTGATGTAAAGGAGAAACACATACTTATGGGTGATTTGTAATGTAGTGTGTGTGTGGGTTTTAATTTTAGTCTTTTTTATTTGCACAGACAGATAATCCTTGGGCCCGAGACTCAAACTCCCATATGAGCACAACAGCTTAACAAGTGTTGCTAACTGCTAGGCCACAGCAGGGTTGCCAGGTTTTCCCAACAAAACCCGCCCAATTGCTACTCAAAACTAGCCCAATCGCGTTTCGAGGGAGGTCCTCCTGTAAAAATTGTGTTCCGGGTTGTAAAATACACACATTTTTTGGTGGGGTTCCCCTGGTAAAATTCACATTTCAGGGGCTAAATATCACATTATTGGGGTCACTTCAACCAGCAGACATGAAAAACAACGCGCAGCAACAGTGTTAAAGTAGCACAATTCCGTGAAAAAAACGCATAATTGGCAACACTGGGCCACAGATCTAACATATTTTCCTTGTTTTAAATGGTGTAAATAAAAGTTATACTGTGTATTTTGCTAGGACATGGTATGTGTATACAAAAGTTTGATGGACAAATTGCCGCTTTGAGAATTAAATTTGACATGAGGTAAATCTAAATTGACATATTCCCACATATCTATAACACATTTCTATTTACCAATTTATACATATATATATATATATATATATATATACAGTTAAATTACAGTTTAAAAAATAGCAGCTGTGATTGGCAGCAAGTTTTCATGAAGCATAAGCAAGTGCATGCGTTGTGATACACTTTCCACAATGGCGGCGCACTACTGCAGATGGGATGAGGAGGAGAAGAATTGTTGAATAAAGTTAAAGAATATCGTTATTTCTGTTTTCTTTGAGCACAAAAAATATTCTCGTAGCTTTGTAAAATTACAGTTGAACCCCTGATGTGACATGGACTGTTTTACCGATGTCCTTGCTACGTTTCTGGACCTGGGAACATTGCAGTTGTGTTGCTGTCTATGGGAGGGTCAGAGAGCTCTCGGATTGCATAAAAAAAAACCTAATTTGTGTTCCGAAGATGAACAAAGGTCTTACGGGTTTGGAAAAACATGAAGGTAAGTGATTAATGACAGATTTTTCATTTTTGGGTCAACTATCCCTTTAAGACATAACAGATTATGTTTGCGTGAATACTTAAAAACTGTCATTCTTTGTATATGTAAATATATGTATCGGGATCGTGTGTTGTCAAAAGACTTTATGCGCTTGCTTTGGATGACAGTCAGCACGAGAAGCGAGTAGAGAAAAATTTTTGATTTAAATTTTAATTTAATTTGAGATGTTTAATTACTATTTGGAGCATTGGGATCACTAGACGAGGGCTTAAATTAACTAATTTTTGTGAAAACCTCAAATTTGTAACTTTTTTTGCCTGTAGCTCAAAATTAGTGCACATTCCGCATTTTTTTCCAACCTTAAAATTACAATTACAAAAATTACAAACTTTT